AACTAATTCCCTCCAACCTTTTCCAACAAACAAAAACTACTAAAATACGAAAACCCATCTTGTTTTAATTTAATCTCGAAACCTAACACATAACAGCTGCATAGTTTTATAAATAAAGAGTCTAAGTCCCCATGGTTTTCCCTACAATTCTGAATTTGCATATTTTAAAGTAAAGATAATTCTTGTTTATTGTCGTCTGACAAGGCTATCCAAGTATATATTCTATCCTCTCCCTACCAAAAAAAATTCATATAATTTTCTCCGAGATGTAGTATTTGACTTTTCAAAAAGAAATGTCACTACTGGATTTAAAAAATACCAAATTTCCGACGAATAATTACAAGACATCTTGACATGATCATCTTCTTCCTCTTATCTATATAGACCCTCCTCCTACTTTCCTCTCTTCCACAAACTTTACAGAGCAATACAGACAATTCATATAACTCAACCTTGATCTTATCCGAAGAAGAAGATATTTGAATGGGGAATCTTTTCTGCTGCGTGCTGGTGAAGCAATCGGATGTTGCGATCAAGGAGAGGTTTGGCAAATTTCAAAAAGTTCTGAATCCTGGTCTCCAATTTGTTCCCTGGGTCATCGGTGATTACGTCGCCGGTAGCCTCACTCTCCGTCTCCAGCAACTCGATGTTCAATGCGAAACCAAAACAAAGGTAAACTACTAACATTCAGAAAAAAATAGACACACAACACATATATGTATTCTTGAAATGGATCCCATTCATGTTTGATTCTGCTTCAGGACAATGTGTTTGTGACAGTGGTTGCATCCATACAATACAGAGTCTTAGTTGACAAGGCAAGTGATGCTTTTTACAGACTTAGCAATCCAACTACCCAAATCAAAGCCTATGTCTTTGATGGTAACTACTACTCCTTCTCCTTCTTCTTCATTTTCCAGTAACTTAAAAGATTCTCAATTTTCATAGATTTTTCCCAATCATTTCTCAGTGATCAGAGCATGTGTTCCAAAGCTGAACTTGGACGATGTCTTCGAGCAGAAGAATGAAATCGCCAAATCAGTGGAAGAAGAGTTAGACAAAGCCATGACTGCTTATGGTTATGAAATCCTTCAAACATTAATCATCGACATCGAGCCTGATCAACAGGTTAAACGCGCCATGAACGAAATCAATGCAGGTAAACTCAACTCATCATAAAACCCCCAAAATCCCAAACCCCTAAATTAAAAATTGGAACTTTGATAAGTATATATGTTCAAAATCCCCCAAATCTCAAAACCCTAAATAAAATATTGGATCTTTGATAAGCATATATGGGCAAAATCCCCCAAATCTCAAACCCCTAAACCAAAATTGGAACTTTGATAAGCATATATGTTCAAAATCCCCAAAATCTCAAAACCCTAAATCAAAATTGGATCTTTGATTTTACAGCGGCGAGGATGAGAGTGGCGGCGAACGAGAAAGCAGAGGCAGAGAAGATAATTCAGATAAAGAGAGCAGAAGGTGAAGCTGAGTCTAAGTACCTGTCGGGACTCGGAATCGCACGACAGAGACAAGCGATCGTTGACGGTCTGAGAGACAGTGTTCTTGGGTTCGCCGGAAACGTGCCGGGGACATCAGCGAAAGATGTGTTGGACATGGTGATGATGACTCAGTACTTCGACACAATGAGAGACATCGGAGCTCACTCCAAATCGTCGGCGGTTTTTATCCCTCACGGTCCCGGCGCCGTCTCCGACGTGGCAACACAGATTCGAAATGGATTATTGCAGGCCCACCAAACCCATGACTAAAAGCCCACTCAAAAGTCAACTATCTAAGTCGTCCCCCACTTAAATTTCTATGATATTTTTCCAAAACATTGTTCAAATTATATAAATAATGCTGTGTTGAATTGTGGATTTTTTATATATATTTTTTTGTTGTTGTTGTCTGTCTTTTATGATTTTGGATTTGTTTTCGAATTAAGTTTGTTTGTATATGTGAAAATATGAAAATATCTAATTGAATGTTTAAAACACTCTTGAAAAACTGTGCCGGCCTTTATAAAAACAATCAATAAAAAGCATTATAAATATATATGATTTAAATAGAGAATATAATTTTCAAATACTAATAGTACTATTTTGCTGTCAATCAACGAGCAGTGTTGTCACGTCAACAAACGGTAACTTAATTTTGACCGTTATGTTTATGAATTCTAAAGTGAAAAAATAAACAATAATTGTAGATAATAATGTCTATATATATAGGTACTGTCGTCTTCCTCATTCAGACATCCACAATTTTGTTATTCTTTTGAACTCTATTTATACTAGATCTCTGTTTTTTCATACATACAAAATCTTGTTATTCTAGTTTACATTTTCAAAATGTCCAATGTTCTCTGTTTTTTTTATTCTTTTCATCTCTATTTTTACTACTCAAAACTGATTTTTTTCATTTGAAAAGAGACAAACATAAAAACATCACCCTACAACAAGGTAAACGTTTTCGTCTGATTTGTTTATTCTCTTTGTTTAACTAAGTTGTTTTAGATATACTACTATGAAGTCTTACAAACATTGAGATATATACAAATAGTTTGGGCTGTCATAGAATATTCATCTAATAACGTTATTTATGAAATAATATCTTTCAAATATTCATGCTCTATTTTGTTTTGTTGGTTAACCTCTCGTAAATTTGTTTTCTTTTTTTTTTAAACTTTTCTTGCATAAATTTAAAGGAAGCAAAAGTGCTTATTGTTTACAATAGCCATCTTTAGTTAGAAACCAAACTACTTAAAGAACCCATAACCGATTTTATACGGGATTTATTTCTTTAAACACTTTGATTTTATATGGGAATCGTGCTCAGAAACCATTTTAATTATACTAAGTTTTTGTTTCCATGATAAACAGATTGTTAGTTAAAACAATTAAGGGTAAATGTCATTTTTACAAATTCAGCAATTTTTTATTTTATTTTATTATCTTTAGAATGCAAATTATTTTCTCTTTAAAACAATTAAGAGTAGTAATTTATTTTA